GTATGTACAAAGTGTGTGCTAAGACTAGTGAGTGTAGGTGACATGTTAAGACTCGTGTCATGACCATGTGGCTAGACTATGTGACTAGACTCAAGCATAGACTAAGTTAAGACTTCACGTATATGCATTAAACTTGACAGACAGTGGTATTTTAGTCATAACCTTTTTTCAGTGACTCTGATTTGGATGAAACCAACGCCAAATTAAAGATAAAACTCGGGGCTACAGATCCATAGGTTTTACGACTCGTAGTTCTTCCTAGAACTCCGGCTATGACCAAAACAAGTTGACGCTTGTGCAGTATGCGGGAATAAAAAATTCGGGTTGACTTAAAGGAACTATGACTCGATTTTATGTTTATTTATTAGCTCAAATTAATTAATTAATTAATTAAACAAAGTCCTTTAGTCATTAATCAGTTTATTTAGGCTTAATCACAAGTCAAACAAACGGTTAGGAAAAACACATAGAGTATGCACAACAAAGAATGCACAATTAGTCAAGTAGACACAAAATGATGCAATGAGTTCGCAACCTAACCATGGCTCTAGTTCTCTAAAGTTCGGGATATGGGTTAGTCAATAGAGGGTCTATGGTTAATTGTCCGGATGCACCGCACGGAAGCCTAACCGTGAAGGGTTGGCGCGAGTGGATGGGACACCGTGAGCTTTAGAAAAAACTCGCTTCCATGATTTGGTGAATTCAACATCTCGGATGTACCCTTTGTTGCACGGAGCGTTCAATCGGGTAGATGGAGCATGAATTCCCAGAGGGTTATGTCCATATGTAGAACACATATGGGTTTCAGAAAAGTGAGAAAAAATTCAATCAGGAAGTAGGATCGAGCAAACAATACGAAAAACCGGTCGAAATTAGAACGCATATTTCTGGCTCGGTATTGGGGGAAATTGGCGCCAGCAATCAGAGACTGGCGCCAGCTTTTAACTGTAGCGCCTGGCGCCAATACTGGCGTCTAGCGCTACGACTAAAATGCTGGCGCCAAGCTCTGGCCCCTGACGCTACTTCCCACATGCCTCAGCAGCTTTCTGTGTTCGATAAAATTTTCCAGTTTCGCGCGGTGTTATTTCGGTCCTAGTTGTAAAAGATATTTCCCAAATTTCCTACGTGTAAAATCCTATGCTTTTAACTCATTACGGATGGTCTTTCCAATGAGATCTTTTTTATGCATATGACAATAATGTTAATCAAAATTACGCACATGAAATACTTAGAACGTTTCGAGTCTCATCCACTCATTCTAAATCATTGCCGAAACAAATTCAGGAATTAAAATAGAAATCCTCCCCAGCGGAGTTGCCAAAAATTGTAGGGAATAAATTTCAAGCCTTAAATCCCACTAGCTTGAACCCCACTGTGATCATACACTAAAGTACGGTGGCGTCCAAAAGGGAAGAAGATAGAGCAAAAGAGTCGCCAACAAGTTTTTAAGGAACTTGTAAACCGTTAATAGGATGAAGGTTACACCCCTTAACGATCCAAGAGATCGTCAACTCCATAAGGTCTAGAACCAAATAAGGGTTCGGGGATGAGGGTATAAATCCAACCTAAAAGTGATTGAATCTGCCCTAATAATAGGTCTCTACTTTATTCTGATCGTATTCATGTGCGCTTTTTAATTAACATGCAATCAATAGGATTAACCCTAAACCTGTTTATCTATGTTGGTTGAATTTAATGCACAAATAAATCTACTATTGGCGATCACTTGAATTATAATCAAATTAACCCTAACAAGATTATTAAATATCTTATTAAGCGTGATTACAAGTATCAATTCCCTTTAAACATGCATAAAAGGCGTGATCAAGCAATAAAAATAAATAACAAGCAACATAATAAATCATCAATCATGAATAATAATCATCATAAAAATAATAATAATAATAATAATAATAATAATAATAATAATAATAATATTAGTAATAATAATAATAATATTAATAATAATAATAATAATAATAATAATAATAATAATAATAATAATCATAATCATCATAAATTATAATCATTATAATCATAAATCATAATCATGTTCATGTTAAAGCATAATAATAGCAAGATCCTAGGCATGATACTAACAAGATTAATAACAAACCCTAGCATGTCACTAAGCAATAAAGATCAAATCTTTAACCCTAACATGATACTAACAATCATAAATATTAGGAAGAACATAGGAAGCATCATAACAATCATATTTAATATTAAAATTACCCTAGACATGATAATAGGAATATCATAATAACAATATAAACATGATATCTACATCATAATATCAATAAATCAATTAAAGTACTTACTTTGATGCCTCGTACCTCTTTCTAAGAGCATTCCCATCAGTGAGGAGAATTTTCCTCATGAGAAAAATTGATGAGCAAAATTGCTTTATTTGCTTCCCCACCAATGAGCAAAGCAAAATATGCTCATGAGCATAATTAAATTTGCTCATCCTAAAATGATAATGAACAGTGAAATCGTGGGGCCCAGCCATAGCACTAACCGTCCTTTTTTTTTGCTTTTCACACCCTCAAAACGACGAGTTTTGGGGTTTGGTCTGAAGAACTATCCCCCAAAACGCGTCGTTTTGTAGGCAGCAAAGCAAAAAAAATTTAAGCATAGCTGCTGACAGGGCGCGTCAGTCCAGCGAATAGGAAGCTGACACGCGTCCCTGTTAGCTTGTTCCTCCAATCAATAATGTTACCGTTTAGCAACGGTAATTAAATTGAAACGGTAATTTGGCCGTTTTAACTTTATTAAAAAAAAAATCATCAACGGTTATATTTTTTTTTTCTCTACAAATAGAGATCCATTTTGACATATTTTTGTATAATTTCAAAAATCACAAAAACACTCAATATTACACTTAATCCCATTTCTAGTGAGATTTATGTTATATTTTCTAATATAAAGTTGAGAAAGGTTAATTTTTTTTTTTGGTTTATTATTTTTAATTACTGTTTTTAGTACTTTAATAATTTCCCAAAACGTTATTATTGATATTTTAAGTAGCATTTTTTTTTAAGTTTAAAAAATCCAAAAAACTCTTTATTATTTTTACTCCCAAGTTTAGTTAGATTAAATTTTCATTTTCTAATATTACTCTTTATTTTTTAGTATAACTACTTTTTTTCTCAACAAAAAAAAAAATTATTTAATTACTTTTTGTAGCACTCAGAAATTATTTAAAACGTTATTAACGTTATTTTTTTTTAATTTAGGTGTGCCTCTTAAGTATACATTGTTGTTTTTAATATATTATACAATATAATGGATCCAAACAACCCTAATTACAATCAACTTGCTCAACATTTTTCTGATTTAGGTGATGATTTCATTAGTAGTCCAAATTTTCAATTATTCCTAGAAAGATTAGGCAACCCTTCTTCTCAAAATTCCGTTCATCAACCAACACCTCCACAAATTCCCAACAATGAAAACACTTTTTTTTGAGTAACAAACTCCTCCCGTTACCAAAGGGAGCAACTCTGAGTACGATGTCAGCCAAGAAGAAGTTGTTCCGGAGACACCACAGTACCCTCCACCACCTCCAAGGATTCCGGCCAATCAACCACTTTCCAAAGCGAGTCGCATTTGGTCGGTTGCTGAGGATGAAGCTCTAATTGGGTTCTACCTAGAACTAAGTGATGATGCGCTTCGTGGTACGAGCCAAAAGGCATGGGAACTATGGCGAAAAGTTCATGCAGTTTACTGTAAACTACAAGCTGAGAAACCGCATATTCTCCCGCCAAGACCTATGAAGAGTTTGGAGACACATTGGAGAAGAATGGCAGCTGATTTGCTACAGTGGACTAATTCCTATGACGAGGCGGGCAAACTCCCTGAAAGTGGAAGTGGTTACAACGAAGCCGATCGAATTAAACACGCTTCCAAGTTATTTTATATCTCCTCTAATCCACAACATAATTTTGCATTTCCACATGGAGTGGAAATGGTTAATAAAGATCCGAAGTGGAGGACTAAACTAAGATGGGGTCTGTCAAAAGAGGAAAGAAAGGGTTGCGATGCCGATGATGAGGAAGATAGCAGTGGAAGTGGGAAAAGGTGTAGGGGGGAGAGTGAGAATGAAATCCGTACTGATGGATTTATGTCCGGAGGATTACCACGACCTGACGGTGTCAAAAAAACAAAGGCTAAGCGTAAGGGCAAAGCAGTTGCTTCCAAAAGTGCAATATTGAGCATTAGTGAGCAGATAAAGGCGTGTACTGAGGTTAGAGAAAGGGAGGCGAATTTACAACAACAACGGTTGGAACTTGATCGAGTAAAGGAAAAGAGGAAGCAAAAACAAGTTGAATTAGCAGAGAAGAAGATGAATTTTGATATGATTCAATCACTTTTAGCAAGGACAACACCACTCACTCCAGCTGAAGAGGCCCACAAGGACGAGTTACTTCAATTAGTCTACGGTAGAAATTGACTGTATTTCCTTAATGAGTTTATTTTTAATTAGTTGTATTATTTGGTTAGATTTGTTTAATTAGTTTATCTTTAATTAGCTTATCTTTATTTTGTTGAATTTTAATTAGTTTATTTTTAATTAGTTGAATTATTTTATCTTTAATTAGTATATCTTTATTTTGTTCAATTTTAATTAGTACTATTTTTAGGTTAGCTTTCTTTACTTAGTTAATCTTTAATTAGTTTAATTTTTATGAGTTGTATTCATGTCCCTTGTCTTATTAGACATTGAGTTATAATATGTCTTTCATGTCAGTTGTATAATTGTATTTTGAATAGTCAAGATTCTTTTCTGTCTTACTATCTTAAGTGTCATTGAATTGTCAATCATGTTTCATCACTCATTGAATTGTCAATCATGTTTCATCAGTCATGGAATTGTCATTCATATTTTGGACTTGTCATTGAGTTTTCATGCTTATAAATGATAGTGATACCATCTTACGCAAATATAATCCAACTCCTCAAAAAATATCCAAACACCCAAGTAACCAGCAAACACAATGTTTTCCATTAGCTCAACCTCCATCTCGTCTGATTCTGATCAATACGTTGAATTTGATCATTTAGTTGACGAATTTGTCACAACCCATCTACCAACTTTGTTGTATAACAACCAAACACAACCCCAATCCGTATCCGGTGTTGAATGTGTTCCAGAGCGTAGAGGGGATACGGATAGAAGAGATAGGGAAAAGGGGCATGTTCAATTATTTAATGATTACTTTGCAAGTAATCCAGTTTATAGCGACAAACAATTCCGGCGTAGATTTCGAATGCAACGACCTTTGTTTTGTAGGATTATGAACAAGGTGGTCGAGGGGGATCAATTCTTCCAGCAGCGTAGGAATGCAGCTGGAAGGCTTGGTTTATCACCGTTGCAGAAATGCACCGCTGCGATTAGAATGTTGGCGTACGGTACCTGTCCAGATGCGGTGGATGAGTATCTGCGCATTGGCGAAACTACCTCCAGATTGGCTTTGCAACATTTTTGTCAAGGGGTTATTACACATTTTGAAGCTGAATATCTCAGAAGTCCCACCGACGAAGATTTAAGGAGAATCTTGCATCAAAATGAAATGCGAGGTTTTCCCGGTATGATAGGTAGCATTGACTGCATGCATTGGGAGTGGAAGAATTGTCCTATGGCTTGGAAAGCGTAATACGCAGGCCGTAATAAAAATGCAACCCTCATTCTGGAGGCCGTTGCAGATCAAGATTTATGGATTTGGCATGCATTCTTTGGGATCCCGAGATCTTGTAATGATCTTAATGTCCTTTACCGATCTCCGGTCTTTGATGATGTTCTTCATGGTCGGGCACCTCCAATTCATTTCACCGTGAACGACCATGAGTATAACTTGGGCTATTACTTAGCAGATGGCATTTACCCAAAATGGGCTACTTTTATTCAAGGTATAACACTTCCACAACTTCAAAAGGATAAATTATTTGCTGATAAACAAGCTGCAGCTCGGAAGGACGTTGAACTGGCTTTTAGGGTTTTACAGGCTAGGTTCACTAGTAGAAAAAACACATTAGGCAGCGGTTCAAACCCGGTCTAAGGCACCGGTTTGAACCGCTGCCTATTTGAGGGGTGCTTAAAACCCCCTATTTGGCACCGGTTCAAAACCGGTGCCATAGGGTTTAATAGGCACCGGTTAACCGGTGCCATAGGGTAGAATAGGCACCGGTTAACCGGTGCCTAATACTGCTCTCCCGCCATTTTTTTTGGGTGGTGGATAGTTTAGGCACCGGTTCCTGCCTAACCGGTGCCTTTTGTATAATTTTTTTTTTTTCGTTTTTTTTTCAGTCGTGCAATAATATTTTAAAAAAAAAAACTGCAATAATAATACCCTGTAATTCCAGCAATTATATTAAATATAATAATTAATAATTTTATTATTATAATAACTAATAATAATATTATTAATTATTATATACAAAAATAATATTAGATACAAGAATTCAATTACATATATATATATATATATATATATATATATATATATATATATATATATATATATATAGATATAAATATTCCCAAACGCAATACAAAAAAAACAAAAAAGTTGCTTACATATACAAATAATAGTAAATACACATATATAATGAATAATAAGTTATATATAGTTCAAAAGTTAACATAAATAATTTACAATTACAATGCATGCCATTTACATGTTGAAGGTGATGAAAGACGCCAACATGTCACGAACTTCATTAAGCTCCTTGATTGTCAACGGACCATCCTTTTGGACCTTGCAAAACTTGAAATACAAAAACATTATTTTAAAAATAATTAATTAGGCAAAAAATATGTATTTTATCAAATATTACCTATACGACTTCTATATAGCCCATTTACTACATTACTTATCAAATGAACTATTTCTTTCTCATAACATTTAAATATTGGATAGTTGTATGTGTGTAAGCCCTAAAATTGTATAGGAGAGCATTTTATTAAGGTTTATGACGGTTTTTACCCAAAATGGCCCGAATATGGCCTATATGACCTTACTTTGCCCATTTCCTACATTTCTTATTAAATGAACTTTATTTATCTCATAACATGTCAATATTATCTAGTTATAGGTGTATAAGGAAAGAAATCACATTAAAAGAGAATATTAACACAAAATGGCCCTAATATGGCCCATATGACTTCTATTCAACCCATTTTCTACCTTTCTTGTGAAATAGCCTTTTTGTTTCTCATAACATGTCATTGTTGGATAATATTAGGTGTCTAAGGCTAGAAATCACATCAATATAGCATTTCAAGAAGTTTAACAACGCATTTTACTCAACATGGCCCAAATAAGGCTTATATGACTTCTATGTAGCCCATTTTCTACATTACTTATCAAATGAACTATTTCTTTTTCATAACATGTCAATGTTGGGTAGTTGTATGTGTGTAAGCAAAAGATTGAAATCAATAACAAGCAAAAGATTAGAACTTTCCTGAATTGAAGATCCCAAACTCACAGTCGCGCCGTAGAACAATAATCCACTGCCTTAGAAGCGAAATACGCCACCACCGGTACAAGTTTCCTAGTGACGCACGCCCCCCAAGTTTAATGCAACTCTCTCCGTAATTCGCACCCGAACTCGAAGAGTGGAATTTCTCAAGAACTGTTCAGATCTCAAAAGGTAGGTTTGTGTTTTCGGCTAGAAAGAGAATGATAATCATGAAAAAGGTATGACTCGTATTTATATGAGTCCTTGAAATAGGAAACACGTAATCAAACCGACCTAGGAAAAAAGGCGGGCCCGATCAGGCGAGCTGCCGCCCGATCGGGCGCGAGATCAGATTTTCCAGACGTAGCTTCGCGCCCGGTCGGGCGAAGCCCGCCCGATCAGGCGAAGCCCGCCCGATCGGGCGATCTGAAATCCCCATTCCGGGCGAGCCATCGGGCGAAGCCGCCCGATCGAGCTCGTCAAAACCTTGAGTCCGCCGCCTGGTCAGGCGAAGCCCGCCCGATCGGGCGCGAGAGATCTCGTAGAAAAACTCTTGTCCGTCGCCCGGTCGGGCGAAGCCGCCCGATCGGGCGCGAGAGTTCCCGTTTTTTCCTTGACCACCTTCGCCCGATCGGGCGAGAGCCGTCCGATCGGGCGCGAGTCATCCGATTGCATTACTTTTTCCAATAATCCCCCACTAATGCGAGCGGATCTTCAACATGAAATCTGAACAGTAAATGAAAGTCTTAGTACTTAAATGCTAGTATCCAAAGGTTTGAACTAACACATTAGTGCACAAGGTTTTCAACACTTCCCTAGTGAGTATCCTAAGATTTAAACTCCTAGGAGCGAGGAAGGGACCTTGAATACTCATACCTTGACTTTAGAGCTTAAGAAACTCCGCCAATCTTGGCCAACACTTGGGCTCTCATGAGTACTTCAGGAAAACAATACTCCAGTCTTCCCTTGAGAGAGGCCACCTCTCGTACTCACGTAGGTGTTCGTCCTATGTGTTATTCACACACGTTCCCAGCAAATTCAAAGGTCTTTTCCAGCAGGCTTAAACGTGTTTAAGCACCTCGCAAACCTAAGAAATCCATGCAGTGGAACTAGAACATTAAGAACATAAGTTCAACCCTTCAACTTTCGATGTCATTATCTATCCTATTTTAAGAGCCACTGGGACAAAGGTTTTAACTATGTAAGCACCTCCATCTATCCCTGCTCAGAAAACAACTGGACTAATGACATTAAGAGATAAACTCATCCTAACAGAATCAACTTACAACTCTTATAGAGTAATTGATTCAAACACATGATACACATATAACAAATCCACATGATTCATTTCAATGAAACAAATTAACCAAAACAGGTTCTTGAATTTATTATAACCAATGTATCATATCACATAGCTAGAATAGCTACCATTTCAAGTCATTACAACAAAGGTCCTAAACCCATACCAGTTGATGACTCCACCACTAGTCTACGACTCAAACCCTTAGTAAAAGGGTCTGCCAGGTTTTTCTTTGTTCGAACATAGTCCAACGAAATAACCCCATTCGCAATAAACTGCCTCACAGACTCGTGTCTGACTCTTATGTGCCTTTTCTTGCCGTTGTAAACACTATTTTTAGCAACACATATAGCGGCTTGTGAATCACAATGCATAGAAACAGGTGGTGACGGCTTCCCCCACAGAGGAATATCAACAAGCAAATTTCTCAACCAATCTGCCTCTTGTGTGGCCAGATCCAATGCGATGAACTCAGCTTCCATAGTTGATCTAGATATACACGTCTGCTTACCAGACTTCCATGAAACTGCACCCCCACTAAGGGTAAACACATAGCCACTTGTAGAGCTTGTTTCATCACTATCCGTTACCCAATTTGCATCACAATACCCTTCAAGAACCAAGGGATGACCAACAAAATTCAATCCCCAAGACATGGTTCCTCATAGATATCTGAGTACACGCCTCAAAGCAACCCAATGTTGCTCACTAGGACAATGAGTATAGCGAGTAAGTCTACTAACTGCAAAGGCAATATCAGGGCGAGTGCAATTCATTAAAAACATCAGACTACCAAGCACCTTAGCATATTCAGTTTGAGACACACCGTCCCCCATATTTTTCACCAAAGCTCCAAAAGGATCAAAAGGAGTTCTCAAAGGAGGCAAATTAAAACAATTAAAGTTCTTCAGAATTTTCTCCACATAATGAGACTGAGACAGAAAATATCCCTTCTTGGTTTTAGTAACCTTAACCCCAAGGATCACATCTACCTCTCCCAAATCCTTCATCTCGAACTTTGAATTTAAATATTTCTTAGTTTCATTTATGACACACATGTTTGTGCCAAATAGGAGAATGTCGTCAACATACAGGCATAATATCACACATTGCGCACCATACATCTTACAGTACACACATGCATCACTACCATTGACAACAAAACCAAAACTAAGAATAGTTTTATGAAATTTTTCATACCATTGCTTCGGAGCTTGTTTCAAGCCATATAAGGATTTCTTTAGTCTGCACACCTTATTTTCCATCCCAGGAACTACAAAACCCGGAGGTTGCTCCATGTAAATCTCCTCCTCCAAATCGCCATTCAGAAAAGCTGTCTTAACATCCATCTGATGCACAATCAAATTGTAAGATGAGGCTAAGGCAAACAAAACACGAATAGTGGCAATTTTAGTCACCGGAGAATAAGTATAAAAATAATCAAGGCCAAATTTTTGAGTGAATCCTCTTATCACCAATCTAGCTTTGAACCTCTCCACGGTGCCGTTGGTTCTCATCTTTCTCTTGAAAATCCACTTGCACCAATGGCTCTACTCCCTTTGGGCAGATCCACAAGCTCCCAGGTACCATTTGACATGATTGAGTCAAGCTCACTGTTTACAGCTTCCTTCCAGAAGGTTGCATCAACTCAACTCATAGCTTCTTCAAACGATTTCGGATCTTCATCCACAACCTGAAGACACAACATGATCTCATCTAGATCATCTTCGAACTCACCCATATTTCCGCACTCTGCTATAAAGGCTGTTAGGAAATCAGGTCCAAAGCTTGTCTCCACTCTTTGCCTTTTACTTCTCCTAGGTTGACTCTCACTTTCAACCCTAGGGGAAGCAACTTCTGGCCCTGCAGATGAAGGAACTGAAGAAACATCGT